AAAATCATACCTGAACACATTTCAATACATTGCATTGATTGCATATTAATGATCAATATAAATCATTTTAGTTAAGAGTTATACCCTGTAATGTTCTTCTGCAGCATCTGTTATAGTGTCTTGCTTCCTGCTGGTGATTAATAACTATAAACTGATTCACTGGCCCAACTCTTTTTCTAATTAAGTACTTATGGAAGCCTGTGGCCAGTGTTTCATTTTCTAATAATTATGGTAATATGATTGAATAATAGTTTTCTAAATTGTGGTGGTTTTTTAAGTATAATTCACTAATATGATTCAGATCACTTATATTTTTTCCCTGAAATTGTTTTTAGGATCATTGTGAATAGTGGAAAAGATAGGAAAATTCACTTGTCTTAAATGATAGCCTCCTTTTTACCAGAATTTTTCTAGAAGAAATTATTTTGGTAATATAATGCCATTAAGATTGAAGTTTTCCCCCAAGTTAATTTATGAATCGAATGTAATTCAAATAAAAATGAAAAATTGTGTCTGTGTATGTGCATATGAAAACCTGAAAAACTGATGTTAAGTTCATGTGCTTTGTCTATGTTAACTATCCTTTATAACTCAAAAATACATAGACTTCCATTTTAGGAAGCTTAATTATAAGAGAAAGAAGTAGAAACACTGGCAATGCTATTAAGGTGTGATTCATTATTTTCCAGGCAGATGTTTATCAGTCTTTTGTCTGAGGCACTACCATCCTAGTTATTATGGAACCACAACATGCAATATCACTGTGGCTCTGGATCTGGCCAGTATTTTGGCCTATCATGATTGACAGCCTTATCTAATTTTTATCTTGCACAGCTAATTAGATTTCATCATTACAGCCCCAAATACAATATGGAACCCATGATGATTCAATTACTGTTTTTTCAGTTGATAATGTTGACTATCGAGCTGGAGACTCAAGTCAAATCCATCTCTCAAATGGTCCACTTAGACCTGCCTGCAGAAATCAACCCTTAAAGAATGAGTTTCATCATGCAATGGGATTTGTCCATCATTACAGATAATCTCATAATTGTTACCTTAAACATAAAATATAAGATATTTTTTTTGCCAAAAAAGATAAAGAAAAATTGTAGCAGAAACTATAAGTTAGGTGCTGTCTGGCAAGCTTGAGACTTTGTCATCCTGTTAGGCCATCTCCTGGGCAGTACATCATTTTCAGTTACATTCAAACTGAGAAATTGTCAATTATATCACATCAACTAGCTGTAGCAACTGGGAAGAAGTTAGTACACAGTTTTACACCCTTAAATAATTATGATGAGTAATATTTTGAACAGTGTGAACCGTAGGATTTATTGACAAAAATCATTCATTGGCCAAAATTACAAGGGAACACAAAATCTTCAGTATTAAAGAATTACTATGTAAAATCCAGTTAGAGGAGACTTGACTTAGGTAAATGCCAGTTGTTAAAATGAGAAAAGCAAGAACAAAAGAGAATTTTTTTCAAAAAAAAAAGAGAGGAGAATGAAGGAAGACTGTATAAGAAGTTAAATGAGAGAAAGCTAATGAGTTAAGTTAAATGAGATACAGTGAAATTAGATAAAGGCCTGCCTTTGGATGGTGATGCAAATGAAAGGTCACCCTCTGTAGCAATGTGAGTTTCTCTGTTTATTAAAGTGCCACATCACTAAAGGTGACAATTCTCTAATAGACCTTTAATGAAAAAGAGTGCAGGTGAACTAACTTGTTTATAATAAAGTCAATAAAATGAAAATACCCTTTTGGATGAGTCTGATCAGAAAGGAATAAAAAAGGAGAACAAAAGTGCTAGCTGGATAGTTCACTAGGTTAGAGTGTTGTTCTGATATTCCAAGGTTTTGGGTTTGATTCCTCATCAGGGCACATACAACAAGGAGCCAGTGAATACATAAATAAGTGGAACAGCCATCAATATTTCTCTTTCTCTCTCTCTAAAAATCAATAATTTTAAATAGTGTGATTTGAAAACAAAGAACACAAGCATTACTAATTGATACTATAAAAGAGCAACTCGTGAAATACAATATAGAAAAATGCTTTATAATTTTATAGCATGGCAAATCAGAAATAACAAATTACCACTTAATGAAATCAAATGAAGAAAGGTTTGCTTTGCCCTAACCGGTTTGGCTCAGTGGATAGAGCATCAGCCTGTGGACTCAAGAGTCCCAGGTTTGATTCTGGTCAGGGGCATGTACCTTGGTTGCGGGCACATCCCCAGTGGGGGGTGTGCAGGAGGCAGCTGATCGATGTTTACCTCTCATCGATGTTTCTAACTCTCTATATCCCTCTCCCTTCCTCTCTGTAAAAAATCAATAAAATATATACATAAAAAAAGAAAGGTTTGCTTTATATAATACCATCTGTTGCTTTGGCATTAAGGTGTAAAAAAAGAAAACTTATTCTGGGGAGGAATATGTTACATTAGGGAAACAAAGAAAACAAGACTAGACTGCAAGTTCAATTAGTGGAAGAAAGTTCTATATAAGTTAATGTAGAAAGCATTTTTGTTTTACATCCTAAGTAGATAAAAGTTGGAAGATAGTACTTATTTAGCTGTCCATTATTAGTAAAGGAAGGAGAGGGTGTCAACATGAGCAAAGGACATGATAAAACACTCTGTTCATTCTTTTATTTTTTCTTAGTCACTTAAATCAAGGCACAGGAACCTCCAGGCACTTTTTATTTTTTCTCACCCTGTTACCCTTAAAATAGGACCCAACATTTCACCATATTTCTAAAACTAAAATCTAGATTTTCAAAGTGGTTGAATAGGTTTACATTTTTGTTTTGTTTTTTAAAAATGAGAGATGAATTTACACTTCCCAATACTAAGCAAACATAGATGTTTCCTTAGCTGTGTGCTAGAACTGAGATCTTTGCTGCAGACAGCTCAGCTTCTTTACCTTATTTCTAGCCCTGAGCCCTCAAGTCAAACAGTCTCTCCAACTCTTTTTTTTGTCTTAGACCATTTAGTTTTGCCCTTACTTTAGTCTCACTAACATTGTACCTATCCAGCAGTTAGATGAACCCATCACCTGGAAAATAGCTGAGTCATTATTATGTGTCACATCAACTCATCATATAGGGATCTCAGTCCTCACACTACGTGAGTGATCATAGTACACCCATAGAAACCAGGTCTAGGAGGAGAGAAGAGGTTCTGCATCCAAAAATACCAAGATGTTTCCATATTGCTCCTCATCCCTCAATTTACAAAAGGTTTTCTTAGTGCTTATTTTGTGCAAAACACTAAGTTAAATTACAGACATAAACATAAATTTTTTAATGGACCCTTTTCTCAGGGAGCTTATGCAAATTGATATAAGACATTTGGGATGAAATTAGGACAAGCAAGGTCTTACTAGAACACTAAGCAGGATTAAGCCAATTCTAATTAGATATAATTCAGGAGGTAAATTTTAAATTGACCTTTAGAGAAAAATAAAATATTGATAGATGGTAAGAGGAGTACCTAAGGGATAAAAAATTATTAAAGAATAAAGGAATAACATTTAAAAAAGCACAGAGGTGGCAAATAACTGCCCATGTACATGGAACTGTAAGTAATTCAATATCTTTGAAATCCATGATGAAAGATTAAATGAAATGAGTCTGAAAAATATAACATGGTACAAGATTATGGAGGTTCTTGAATGATAAAATAATGGTTTTAGAACTCATTATATAAATAACGGGAGCCATTGGTGTTTACTTATCAGAGAAATGAAATCCTCTTGTCCCACTTTTTAAAATTCCCATCCACTGTTTTCTTTGTTTACAGCACCCTTCCACCATAGTCCTTCAACCCCGACGATTTTTGGTTAAGTTTATATGTTTGTTTGATTCACTTCTTATGGAAGGTGTTTCACCTCTTCTGTTAAGCTTTGTAGGACTAGTTTTTCTCAGAATAAGTTTACACTTCTCCCATCTTCCTTGCTTGTGCTCAGATTATTTTGATGATTTTTGTATAATAAGCATCTTTTTTTTTCTTTAAATCTACCCTTACCACTTGACTTGCTTTCAGGGGAAATTTATCGTTGGTCTTTGATTCCTCAATATCTTTCCAGCATGTTATTTTCCAGATACTTAAACAGTTGTAGTTGACTGACTGATCAGTGCTATGTCTTGGTAAGAAAACTTCATCCTCAGGGAAGAAGACAAAATAAACAGAAAACAGAATAAAACTAAAGATAATAGCTACATGGTCACTGTAACAGGAGATTGTGAGAGGATAAAATAAGAAGGTAAAGAGGGAAATGAAAAGAAGACCACAGAAAGAGAAAGCTGATTAGATGGGACAGAAATAGAAGGACTATTTGTGGATGAACCCAAATAATTTGGAGAAAATTTGTATTATAATGGTTTGATTTTTTGCCAAAGAAAAATATGAGTCCCCCTTTTTTTAAATATATATTTTATTGATTTTTTTTACAGAGAGGAAGGGAGAGGGATAGAGAGTTAGAAGCATCGATGAGAGAGAAACATCGATCAGCTGCCTCCTGCACACTCCCCACTGGGGATATGCCCGCAACCAAGGTACATGCCCTTGACCGGAATCAAACCTGGGACCCTTCAGTCCGCAGGCCGACGCTCTATCCAATGAGCCAAACTGGTTAGGGCTATGAGTTCCCTTTGATGGTTTATATTTAATACTTCTTTGGAGCATCCAGTTCTTTAGATATCTAAAAGTCATAATCATTGCCCCTTAAGACAGAATGTGGGCTAGTATTTCTTTTGTCTTAAATCTTAAAAAGTATCCTTAAGCAAGTTTGAGCTATAATACTAGAGTCCATAACAGTGAGAAACATACCAACAGAGATAAATGTGCATCTCATCCTGTTCCCTAGAAAGAAGCAATATCTAATATTTCCCACTAATCTTAAGACTTGCGTTCAAAAGTTCAAGTTCTATTTAAATCTTACTCAGCCGATTCAAAATTAATTATATGTTGTTTCTCTCTTGCTTTCCCACAGTATGCTGTCTGGCTAGTCCTCTGGGTTACGTGGAATGTGTTTGTTATCTGCTTCTACCTGGAGGCCGGGGACCTCTCAAAGGTAATTTGCCATCTGATTTGCCAGCATCATCAATAATGTGTTACTAAGTCTCTTCCTAAGTAAGGCAGAGTCTCACCCTGCTCTTGTCACTTAGATATGCCTCGAATGAAGGTCAACTGAAAGGTGTCCTCATCTATATCTCTGCATTTCTACCATCGAAGATATGCTTTAGTGTGTCACAAAATATATTTTTATTTTTAAGCAAAACTAATGTGAAATATTGATTATTATAGTGATCAATGCTGTCGACTTTTAAAATGTTGACTGATGAGGGCTTTCTGAAGCAGAATAGGAATTTTTTTAGAGATAAAATCTTGAAGATTAATTCCCTTAGTTTGCTTATTGCTCTGGTAAAGATTTTCCTGATTGGGCCCAAATAGCAATGAAGTAATTTGAACAATGAATGGGTTTTAATTGAGTACAGTTGTTACCAGAGGCATATAATTTATTATTCAGATTAAAAAATGAACACTTTATTCTAAAATAGTCTACGAAAGACTTATAATACTTGCTTTTTCATTAGGTTTCTTTATTTTGCGCTGTTCTTAGGTATGTGTATACTTGTTTTTGAGCATGTAGGTTGACTTTATATTTCTAACACAAATGCCTTTACTATTGAAATGATGTAGTTTTTAAATCTCTAAAACCAGCATCCTTCTTCTTTTGGAATGCAGTTAACACCAGGTAAGTCAAATGAGATAATCCATTCAAGGAGGTACCGTATCTGACTTGAGATGCTTGAGTGGTTGCAAACCTGTATTTCTTAATATTAACTTTAAAAGACAGATGGTAAAATGTTCTTCTAGGTATCCCTGTTTAGAACAGAAAGACCCTGCAGAGACGTTGACATTTTAAAACCCCAGAGATGATAACCTGCTTTAAAAGGCAAAATAACTGAGCTATAAAGTCACCAGGAATTACCTTTGCAGGGCTATATATTTTGGGGGGTTGAGTGATGGGGTTAGTAGTAATGCACATTTATAATCTGTCATACAGGAGTTTTTCAGAGTGCTCTGAGCGTTTGCAAGGATGCTTATCTGACTTGATAGAGGCATTTCTATGATTCTAGTTGTGCATGGTCCTCCACACTCTGGCAGCAGACAGTCCTTCCCGAAGATGCTGTGACTAATGAAAAGGGCTTGTTCAGGTAGCTCTTGGAAGGACACAGACAGGGCTGCTGCTGTGTCTGTGTCAGAAAAGCAATAAGCACTTCGCAAGGATTTGAATTCCTTACCCAATTCATACATCCCCGCTGCTCTATAATCCACTTTATTCAAAGAAAGTCCACACTAGAATGACTCTTAATGATATTTTTAATTTTAAATAATCACCTTAAAAATTGGAAGGCATTTATTCAGGCATATTAGCTGTGTAAAATAATCTAGCAGGCCAGTTTGTGTAATATAAAAGGAGAGAGGGAGAGAACGAGAGAGATTTGAGCCAAGCAGGCTGCACAAATATTCTCTGTGTTCACTGCTCCATGTGATAACTGCAGGCACAAAATAAAGCGTGTGATCTTCATGACCTTGGACATGGGCATCGAAACCACAGCAAGGGTACATCCTAAAACATTACAGTTCAAGACAGTTGCAACCCAAATGACTAAGAATTCCTCTAATGCACACAGGCAGGTAATGACTATCCCTTGGCAGTGCAGCAGTTAATAACATTTCTTTTCTTTTCATCTTATAAACCATGCTAGGCTCTGCAGAGCACATGAAAATTTAATATTTTTAACAAATAATCTAAAAGAGAACCATAAAGGGCAAAGTTATAATAGTTACCTGCACCAGGCTTTTCCTCCCCTTCCTCCTCAAAGGGTTTGAGAAAGGAGTATGTGTACCATTTAATTCTGTAGCTTCTGTAACTGCCTCACATCCTTCAAGGAATACAGTGACAGGAGGAAGCAATGGTGATTGAAAAATGTACAGATATATGAAAACTCAAAATGGGACACCTGAAACTGCTGACAATGCTTAGATTACAGAATATAAACAATCTTTTCTCAACCCACCAAAAATAAAATAGTTTGACCATACAAATGGGTCTGTTCGTTTTTGGCTGAGGGAGAAATAATGGGAAATTAAATCAGGGAGGAAATTCTATGGTCTTATATATGTGAAAGAAGTGTGTTTATTTTCATAAACTATTTTGTAAATCATGATTCCTTCACACAATGAATATTAGCAAGGATGTTAAAGCAATCTTTAGTTATCTACTAGAGATTAGAATGTTGTGTGGTCATTTTGCATATGTCTTTTCTATTTGTTGTTTTTTTTTTCTAAACTATTTTCCTTTTACTAATGAGCAAAACTGAGATTAGAGTCATTAACCAACCCAGTGTGTACATTCAGTAATGGAATGGCTTAATTACAAAAATATGGTGCACAAGACTGACCTGTTTGATCTTCAGTTTTCTTTTTCCCATAGTTGTATTTCAAATATATTTCCTTCATTGGAAAATCTGTGCAAATCAATCATTATTCTTAAAATATCAATGGATAAATTTTAATTAGTATCCCCATAGCATTTAATTGATCTAATAGATAAATCTGTTCAAAAGAATAATAGCAACAATGTATCACATTATGCATGCTTATATGTGTGTGTATATATATATGCTTACATGTGTATATATACATATATGTATACATACATATATACACATACACATATACATATACATACATGTATATGCATATATATACTTGTGTATGCTTATATATATAAGTAAAATATTGTAAATAACAGCAATGGTACAAGGGATTAAAGGGAGAAATTAGAATTATTTTGTTAATGTAGGAAACACACTGCACATGAAGTAGTATAGGGCTCTTTAAAAATGGGCTTCGATTACTTATAAATGTTAATTGCAAACTTTAGGGAAACCACTAAAATTTTTTCTTTTAATTGAATATATTGTGGTGACATTGATTAATAAAATTATACACATTGCATGTGTACAGTTTTATAGTACATCACCTGTATATTGCATTGTGTGTTCACCATCCAAATTCAAGTCTCTTTCCATCACCATTTATCCCCTTTATGCCCTCATCTACTTTCCCCCCACCCCCTTTCCCTCTGTAATCACCATAATGTGGCCTGTGTCTATAAATTTTGTTTTGTTTATTGTTTTTGCTTAATCCCTTCACCTTTTTCACGCAGCCCCCAACCGTGCCCTCCCCCCACATCTGTCATTCTGTTCTCTTCATCTATGACTCTGTTTCTATTTTGTTTGTTTCTTTTGTTCATTAGATTCCACATATAAGTGAAATCATATGGTACTTGTCTTTCTCTGACTGGCTTATTTCGCTTAGCATAATATTCTCCAGGTCTATCAAATGCTGTTGCAAAAGGTAAGATTTCCTTTTTTTCCACTGCCGAGTAGTATTGCAATGTGTATATGTACCAGTTGTTTTTTGTGGAGGTTTTTAAATCTACTAATCTACTTATGGGCACTTGGTCAAAGCTAGTATTTCTGATGTGGACTTTGAGAGTCTCTTTTGGAAATCAGAATATTGAGCACTAAACATTTCTTTCTTTTGCCTTCCTACTAAAGCAGTAGTAATTCTCTTTGAGGAAGTGAAGGTGTCACTGACTCACTAGGGAAAGTTTGCAAAATATAAGTATGAAAAAATAAAAGTACAGAGATTAATATTCTGAGACAGACTTCTGGAAATAAAAATAAAGCAGATACAAACATGGTCTAAGCCCGTGGTCAGCAAACAGTGGCTCACAAGCCACATGCGGCTCTTTGGCCCCTTGAGTGTGGCTCTTCCACAAAATACCATGTGCGGGCGCGCACATACAGTGCGATTGAAACTTCGTGGCCCATGCGCAGAAGTCGTTATTTTGTGGAAGAGCCAGTATTTTGTAGAAGAGCCACACTCAAGAGGCCAAAGAGCCGCATGTGGCTCGCAAGTCGCTGTTTGCCAAGCCGCAGTTTGCCGACCACTAGTCTAAGCAATTGCTAGCCTCATTTGTATCTAAAGCTCAGTTTACAGGGATCATTGTAGAACAGGAAATTTTATTCTATGCCCCAAATTTAAACACTCTATTTTGATAGCTTTGTTGTTACAGAGCTATGTAAAAATATAAGGATATGTTTGAATTAAGAACTGCATAGCTTTAAATTTAGAATAATTTAATTGTTAAAAAAATTGAAAACTTACAATTTTTTCAAAAAATCTTGGAATATTTGGTCCACATTAAATGATCTTGTGTGAAGTAGGTCCTTAGATGTTGCAATAGCTGCAGAACTTACTTGGGAATTATGTCCGATTCAGCATGGTCCCCAAGCCCTAGTGTGCTCTCAGTCAGTGATAACCTTATCAAAAGCACCCCTTCGCTGTAAACCACCATCCTAACATGACCCCTGGAACTCATTTCAAAACTAAATTGGAATTGGCAGTTGCCAAATTAGCTTTGGAGGGCAAAATGTCAATTTCTATGTCTGTGGATTCACTCAGGGACAATTGATGCTTTGATGAACTATGGGAAATACAAAAATACAATCCAAGGAATATTAAATAGTGAAATGAATCCATTCCATTTTTTTCTGCTTCTAGCATCTCGGCTTGTTTAGGCAGAAAGAACAAATAAGTGACTGTTTTCCATGCCTTTATATGATGACAGAACAACTCTTAATTCCGTAGTGTACTTAAAATTTACGTTGAAAATACAGTTGCACTTTGGATTAGTAGTTCAGTATACCATAGGTAACCAGGGAGCAATGTTCAGTAAGTACTGGTGTTAGATGTAAAGCAGTACAAAGAAAATGAAACGATGTAAATGTCTTTCCTGATTGAGAATTATATGGAGCAATTTTGAAATATTTAAAGTGATTTACATGCCAACATTACACTTAAGGTGTTACTTTGCCTCCTCCTCTTTAAAGATTTATTTTTGATGTTTTATGAAGCAAAATGTGTGTTCAGCCTGATGCAACCAGCAAAGCAGCTTACAAGGTTAAAAGGAAAAAGATGACTCATTAATAA